CCCCCGCCGCTGGGCCAGAAGCTCTGTAGGTGCGGCATGGGCTCAGGTTCAGTGCCCGCCCAGGTGCTGAGCGAGCCGGACTTTAAAGGGAGGATCATAAGAGCTCCTAGACCTGGCAAAGGGAGGACAGCGCGAAGGAAACGGAGAGGCGTGGGAAAGGGGAGTCAAGCTTTGGGGAGCTTTCGCTTTGTACCAACAAAAAAAGTGGTTTAGACAGCTGCGGTAACTTGATGAGCTGACTGGGCCAGAAGGAAGGCAGGGAACAACGAGGCTCCCACATCTCACTGCCTTGGAATCGCCTCGAACTCAGAGAAACCCTTTAGGTTAGAGTAGAACCGTCCCTGTGGGCCTCTGAGAGTGGGTCTCTGTCTGGAAAACTTCCTCATTCTCCCGCGGAGCAGCTGGTCTTTCAAAAACCTTCATTCTAACACCATTCCCACGAAGCTACCACTTTCGCTCACCGTCACACGTCTGCGTTTCAAGCATCCTGCCCTCCTCTCTGCACTCCTCTCCTCACGGACTTGGTCCTTCACCCCCTTGGTTCGCAGTCACTGTGCACCTGCACTGCGCCAGGCTGGGGGAAGATGCGGTACATACTCCCATCGAACTTGCATTGGTATGGAGGAGCGGGAGAGAGACTATAGAGAAACCAGTAAAGTATATCCTTGCAAATAGAGTGGGAAATGCCATGGAGAAAAAGCAGGAACAGAAGATAGTGCTAGAGGTGTCAATTAGGAAAGGGAAATCAGGATGGACTTGTTGATAGGGGACATTTGAGCAAAGACTTTAGGAAGAACCTTTGTAAACCCAACTCTCCTGTAGGACTTGCTGCCCCGAAGGCCAGCCCTTCCTTTGTTGTAAGTCCATTTCCTTCTTGGCTTCTCAACAATTGGGGTCCCCAGCTACCCTTCTGTCCTGCAACACCCGGGACTCTCTCTTCCAAAATATTGTCCTTGGATAATAATTTGCATTAGCATCACGCATCAGTTTTTGTGGAGGGGAGATGCTCTTTCCCCGCATTCTAACACTTTCCTTTTTTACTGCTCCTGCTTAAAATGAAACTTTTTAAACAAAAATTCACCTGAAGACTTGTCAACCGTTGCGGTTCCATTTTGTCACTTGAGTAGCAGATTAAAGTTGATTATAGTCCCTTGATACTCCTGCCGTTGAGAGGCAAGGCCCCTTCTCCGTGAATCAGTGCAGGTTTTGTTAATAATCTTAGTTATTAAACTATAGTGATGTTGCACTGGTTAAGTGCTCCACTGCGAATTGAGAGGTGAGTGGCCTGAACCCACTCAACAGCAATGGGGGGCAAAGATCTACTGGTGTCAGGAGCAGTGCGATCAATATTACTTAACGCTCTTTGACATTTTTGAATGCTCCGTTTATTCACTGCAAGCACATTAAACAATCTAATAATCTTGAAATTAACTTAAAACTACTAAGTATAAGAATATCAGGGCAAGCATGAGAGTATAAGGGCAGCACACTACATACATCATTATTCCAGCATCATGGTCCCAATAAGCACTGCCTTCATCGGTGTACTCATCCCGGTAGAGTTGGTGGGAGCAGGAGTTGATGTCTCCTTGGTTCCTAGCTCTCTGAAAAGTCAGCGTCTCTACCCAGGTTAATATTGGCAGTCCAGCTGGCTCCTTGATGTCCTTCTGGTCTTATCGGGGTCCTCCAGACTTTCTGGGGTGGCTTTTCAGGCCACCTGTTGATTCTTGGGCAGTGGCTCAACTTTTCAGCTGGGACTCAATGTCACACTTCATTTCTCCTCTGAAATGGAGTTTCTTTTGTTTGCTTCCTGTAAGGTAGTTCAGTGTCTTGCAAGGAAGTTCTCTAATGCTCTCATCATCCAGTGATTCACCCCTGGAAAGATTATAGCTAAGAAAATTCAATAGGACAGTTCTATGCTGTTATATGGGATTGCTAGGAGTGAAAAATGGACTCAGTGGTACCTAACTCAATGCTACCTAATGATGCCGTTTGCAGGCGTGACCTTAAGAGACAGCGACTTCCACTTCTGTCTCTTAGAACACTTGTTCTTGAAAAACTTTGGATCTGGGTAGTAAAACTGATGACTCCCCTGGACTGTCCACATGAAAAGCCCTGAGGCACATGTGAAGAGTGGCCAGTTAAGGCCAGCCATTTCTACAAAGGAAGCCTTCTGGAACTTTCCTGACTTGCTCAGTTGCCAACTGAATATCATTAATGAGCTCCAGTGAGCATCATGTGCTGCCAAAGACCCTGCCTGCTGATCCTGTTCTGAGTCCCCTACTTACTGTTTATTATCATAATAAAGTTTGGTGGAGAAGCTAACTTTGAAGAATACCTCCAGTCTCCTGTTTTCTCTTTAATCCATTCCAATGTGATTTGTGTTCCTTTTACTCAACTGCAGAATTGGTTCTTGTGGTAGTTACATAAGCTTGTGTCAATTTGAGAAGATCACGAGTGAAGGGATAGAGTCTGGCCTGTCAATCAAGATATAACCAATGAGGTCTCTGTGTGAGCATGACCTCCTAAGATGTCTGGAAATTCCTGTATTTCCTCCTTGGAGTCGGGAGAGACTGTCTCTCGCTGCTCACGTCCTGCAAGGCATCCCTGAGGAGAAGCCACATGGACCAACCCTGATGCAGCTAGAACCCTGGACCTGGAGAAGCCAGGTAGAGACTCCTGCCAGCGCTGAGATGTTTACAACACCATGGAACCACAGGACTTCTAACCCACTGGCTTGTGATCATCCTACATTCGGTGTCATGGCATGCGTTTCTTGAGTCTGAAGAGGACTTTATAAATCGGTATTGGACTTAAGGGATTGGACTCTTTCTTAATATACAATTGCCCTTTATATAAAACTCTCTCTTATACACATGAGTCTCTATGGATTTGTTTCTCTAGTCTACCCAGGCTAACACAATTGCTATTCATGCTACCTACAACATTCACCAAACCCAATGGTTACTTTTCTGCTTTAATCATATTCCACTCATAACCACATTAGACAAAGCTCTCCACTCCCACTTTTAAAACTTTTCTCTCTTGGATTCAGTGCTCCCACTTTCTGGTCCCGCCCCCCCAACATAATTAAAGCATAGTGATTAATCACAAAAATAATATGTAATTATATATTGTGAAATATTTATTTCCACTTACAAATACTTAAATGAAATTTTGTCTTGAAGCATGATGTAGCATAGGTAACAGTCTCAATATAACAACAGTAAACTACATTGCTACATTTTGCGAGTATGTGTAAAAATCCAACGTCATGCGAAGGTTGAGCTAGAGGAGCGGTGTCTCGGTTCCTAAGACCATCGGAAATATGTGTTTTCCGATGGTCTTAGGTGACCCCTGTGAAAGGGTCGTTCTACCCCCAAAGGTTGAGAACCACTGCTTTAAAGCTTTATAGGAGTAGACAGCCTTATCTATCTCCCACTGGAAGGAGCCGCTGGTCGCATAGGCTGATGGGTTTGAACCTGGGGTTCACAGCTCCACAGTACGCCACCAGAGCTCCTGACTGGAATGCTCTCAAGTCCCTGGCATGCCAGCGGGAGAACGCAGGCACCATGCAAGGGGACGAAGTGAACAAGATGGTTTCATGGAGGCAAGAGTGTCAAGAAGGCAGAGGCCGTAGCGGTCTTGGCAGCAGGTCCTGGAGGAGCTTGCTTTGTCTTCACTCTGTAGCCGCTGTGAGAAAATGTTCCGGGGTGGGTGGCTTTCAGTAGCAGGGAATTTTTTCCCAGAAGTCTGGAGGATATCAGTATGAATCCATGGTGTTAGCAAGGCCACGCTCTCTTTGAAAGTTCTAGGAGAGAAACTTCCAGGCAAGAACCTCTTCTTTTTTTTCCCCCCTTTCCTTCTCAGGAGCCTCACAGCTTCCTTGGCTTGTCACAAATCTCTGCCTCTATCTTCACAGGGCCGGCTTTCCGCAGGGTCTCTCTACCTCTGTCCCTTCTCTTTCTATGTAAGAACTGTCAAACTGGACTAGGGCCCACCCTACGCCAGCATGGTTTCATGTTCTCTTAATTAAGTATATCTGCAAGGATTCTGTTTCCAAATGAGGTCACATTCTCAGATACCAGGGGTTAGGATTTCAGCATATTTGTTTGAGGGGGACACAATTCCATCCCTACCACCATGGTAAATATTGTTGGATAAACGAATCAGCAAATGACTAAATAAATAGAGGGAAAACCGAAAGCGTTACAGAAACCCCTGGAATACTTTAACATACCACTGTGTATTGACTTAAAAATGCCATGTACGATGACACATAGTTATTTTGCATAGCACCGAGAAAGAAAAAAATGACAGATTAATCGGTGACACAATGCTAAAATGTCATCAATTATAAAATATGTCACAATTTCAGAGGTGTTAAAAGGTAGAAAAATGTACATATATTTGAATCCATGAAATATAAAGAAGTTGTATTGGAACTTCTGGAATTGTTTAAACTTACAATTTACTCTCAAGACCAATACGTAAACAGCGAGCACAAGGACAAGGAAATGCTCTGGAGCTGATGTGGAGATGGTCGCACGGCTCTTACGAATGTGATTGAACTGTGGACGTGTATGCTGTGGGAATTTGCATGTTGGTGAAACTATTGAAAATAAACAAACTCATTTTTAAAAGACCCACCTGAGGAACTTGTGCAAGTGCCGTAAGTGACTTCCTCCAGCGGCGCGAGAAACAAGGAGAATCTGCCCCAGGATGCTTCCTAAGGAGCCGAGAGCCGACACACTCGGCCTCTCACCCTCTGTACCCTATTCCCACACCAGCCTTGGCATTCTACCTCGCTGCCGGGTTTGACGATCTTTGGCAGTGGCCACA